GTGCACCAAAATCTTACATATTGCTGTCCACCCTGCCACTCCTCCTCTTTTCCCAGTCATCCGCTGTCAGGAGCACTGGCTTCTTACAAGAGGTTTACATGTATGGATTTGGGAGCAAGTCTGGCTTAGAATCCCAGCTCCACCATTTCCTTGCTCTGTGACCTTTGACAAAATACTCAACCTTTCTGTGCCTCAATTTCCTCATCTGAAGGCGAAGCCAGTTCATAGTATGTGCATACTTGGTAGAGTTGTAAGGATGAAATATACTAAAGCTAATGTGAAGCTCTTAGAACAGCACCTGGTGCATAGAAAGTGCCATGGGTTTGCTTTTATTATTATCCTTCGCTTAGTACATGCATCATCTCCACCAACACCGCCAACATCCTGAATTAACTGACAAAGGCAATAACGCGTCGTAGTTATTTCTCAAGGTATTTTCGTACATTTCGTCAGGTGGCGTCCTGCCATAATCTAGGACGGTTCAGGGAATTCGGAGATGTTATTGCAGAACAGGGGAGGGCAAAGATTCAGCCACAATTGGCCCTGTTCATGATGAGGAGAAATTAGAACCAAACAAAGGGCTAACAAAGAGAAAGCTCGTTAAAAAAAAAATAAAGCATATTTGTTATAGTCTATCATCATACATGAAAAAGAACATTTTTTTTTAATTTTTTTTTTCAACGTTTATTTATCCTTGGGACAGAGAGAGACAGAGCATGAACGGGCGAGGGGCAGAGAGAGAGGGAGACACAGAATCGGAAACAGGCTCCAGGCTCTGAGCCATCAGCCCAGAGCCCGACGCGGGGCTCGAACTCACGGACCGTGAGATCGTGACCTGGCTGAAGTCGGATGCTTAACCGACTGCGCCACCCAGGCGCCCCAAAAGAACATTTAATGACATAAAAATTATTCATGCCGAGTAAAGCGAAAAAGGAGGGGCACCTGGGTGGCTCAGTCAGTTAGGCATCTGACTCTTGTTTTCAGCTCAGGTCATGATCTCATAGGTTGTGAAATTGAGCCCCGCGTCAGGCTCTGCACTAACAGAATGGAGCCTGCTTGGGATTCTCTCTCCTTCTCTCTCTGCCTGTCCCCTGTGCTCACTCGTGCTCTCTCTCTCTCCCTCTCTCAAAATAAATAAACTTTTTTTTTTAAAAAAAAGGAAAAAACTAAAGTGAAAAAGAAAAGCTACAAAAAGGCATGTAAACTACGAATCCACTATGCTTTTTTTCCCTTCAGGTATATTAGGCTTGTTTAAAAGACTGGAAAAATATACATCAACATAAATGTTATTTCTCAGTGGAGTAACAAAAAGTCATTTCTCTTTTCTTGGGTTGAAATTTCTTTTTTTAAATAAACACATAACCTTTTTTATTATATTGGTAGCATTTACATTTCTTCGTGGCATCTAATAATAATAATAACAGATTGTGTTTGAAATTTCTGAATGCTGCATAACGAATATGTATTACATTTACAATAAGGAAAGGTTACCATTTAAAAACAGGATAAGTAATTGTACCTGCAACATGGTTCAGTTACATAGAAGATCTATGAAAACAGCGATGTTAATGGGAGAATTGTGGATAATTTTTTCTTTATATTTTTCAGGTTTTTCCAAAAATTTTATTCTGAGAGCATGATGTTGCTTTTAGGTAGATGGTTCATATAGGGAAACTGAGGCACAATAGGTGGGCAGGAAGTCTCTCTGGTTTCATACCAGAGCAGGTGTTCAGTCGTTCCCGGAGATGCTCCCTTTTGGGTCTATTCCTGACCTGTGACTTAAGGTCGAGGCTATGACTGTCACATAATAACGGTCTTTAAGCCTCTCCTCTCAGAAGAAATGGGCTGCAGGGCCCTGTGTGTTTGGGGTGAGGGTGGGGAGGCTCAGCACCCCTGAAGCATCACCCTGGCCATCTGTAGGGGCAGGAAGCCAGCCCTTAGCTGGGCCACATGACAGCTGTGTGTCTCCAGATTCTGAGGCCGTAGCCATCTCCCCGCTCCAGATGCCAGCTGTTAGGGAGGAGTAAGCCTTGCAGGCACATGTGTCCATATGTGATAGCAGCCCACCCAGTCCAAATATTTGGGGGCCTCCCTGATCTACCTCCCCGACAAGTGTGTCTAAACCAACACAAAATAGGAATAAAAACAAATAGAGGTGGGGAAAGAAGAAAAAAATGGGAAAATGAGAGAGAAGTATTTTTCAGATAAAGCAGTTGGATCTGATAACAACCTAGGAAACAGGCAGAAGGGAGAGTGGTGTGGCCCAAAGGGCAAAGGTGTGGGTTAGAAGTCACTGACCAAGAGTGTCTTTCACCCTCTGCCTACCTGTATGGTCCAAGGCATGTCCCCTACCTGGCGGAGTGCCTCTTCTGCAAGAAGCAGATGTCACTAAAGGGTAAGAAGGGTTCCTTGCTCTTGGAAGGGGCGCCCCAAGTGCACGTTTGGCCAAATACCCAGAGGAAGAGTGGTTGGTTCACGGTCTTCCCACACGTGCCTGTTAGGATTTAGTTGTCATTGCCGGACTCACTGCTTCTGGATGCGTAGGTGAGGAATCAGCTGATGGCACTCTGGGGAGGCTCCCGCTGGGCTAGCAGGCAGCCCCTGGCCCCTATGTCACAGACAGCAGCAGGTCTGGACCATCTTCAGGGCAGTCGACTCGAAGTGGTTCAGTGGCCCATGGCTGTCCTCCAGCAGGCCCACGCTGCCCAGAAGGACATTCACACACCTGTCTGTTGGCCTCAGAGTAAAGTAGTCTTTTGGGCTCCCCACCCCGCCCCAGCCAAGTGGAATGGAAGGGGGAAAAAAAAGTAGCAATGGTCTATTGCCATTAAGATGTTATTTACAGTTCTGGCCGTTCTAAAGATGCCCCTGGGTCACTTGCCTGTCTTTGGACAAGAAGAGACTCCAGCAGTGATTTCAAGGCAAGGAAATATGGAAAGAGAGCAACGTTGAAAATGTGGGTAGTAGGAAAGAATCATTCCTCCTTACTCCTTAGCTTCTTAAGTTTTCCTTTAAAATCCCGCCCCCCCCCCAACCCTCCCACTGGCATCCGTTTGGCTTTGCAGACTGATTCAGGTTCTAGGACTGGGCATGAGTTGGAGGAGGCTACAACAAAAGAAGAAGACTTGATCCGGGTGATGTCATTCCAGAGGGGGTGACAAAAGCCACTTGGCAGCGTCTTCACTAGAATAGGTCAGACAACAGGTTCTGAACTGAAATATGTTGATATAGTCTATGAGCACGCTCATTCTGAATTAACACCGACCCCCAACAAAACATATAGACAGAATCCTAAAATGGACCCCTGTGGGTAGCAGCCTGTGCCGTTAATGAAGCTGCTGTAGGGGTGGTCCTGTGCCTTAGGATACAGAAGCTATAGGATGACCACTCAGCGTCATGTCTGGACATTAAGGTTTGTTAATGTCCATCTCCAAGCAACAGCAGCTAGGCTGTTTCAAAATAAAAGTCTCTGGCAGTGTTTGTATATGTCCTACCCTGAGGATAACACAGAGGGAGAGAAGATAGTCACTGGGACCCCAAATTCACTTCAATAGCGTTCAAGCTGCTTCTGGCAGGGTGCACCTGCAAGTCTCAGATAAACCCCCCCGGGTCCACCCCGCATCTGCTGGGTGTATCCTTCTGATTGACTTAAGACTTCTTTCTCTCTTTTAAAGGTCCAGTTTGAGCCTCATATCTCCGCCTCCTTCTCGGTGACGTCTCCAATTGCTCTTACAATTCCAAGTCGGTATCATTCGGGTCAAACTAGTTCATGATTGATTAATATTTTCTGTTTCGTATTTATGTTTCTGTTGCAGTTCCGGAGAGTGTAGCCGATGACACTTTGGTCAGCCCCCCCCCCCCCGGGGGGCCTACCCAGAGCTGTCACCAGGAAAATAGTGGCAGACACCGCTCTAAGTATCTAGAGTTTGTCTGTGTTCTGCTGTTTAACTCACTGTAAGTGATCCCCCGTGAACATCCGCTTAGCTGCTTCGGAAAGTGGGGGGGTCACACCTAATGATAACCATGACTCTCACCGTAGCCTACGCCAATTCGATGTTTGAATCACATCGTTCAAGTTCATGTTCATCAGCCAAAGGGTTACAATGAAAACCGTCATGATTACAAATAGTCGTTTGTGCAGTCAGTGGTAACTGCACAAGATACGTGTGACAAACAACATCTCTGTGAATAACACGTACACAAGAACACAAACACATCCACAAACGTGAGGCTGAAATCCACATGCTAGCTCCTTCTGGGAGAAGGAGACGCAAACTGTGAATTTTCTTTATATTTACACACCAGTTCCAAAGCTAATGGTTAATATGTTTGCCTCGTTCTAAGATTTAGAAGTATAAGCTATTATATATCATGCATAGGAAATTGATAAATTACATTATGTGCCAAAAAGCTACATATTTCTATGTAGACACCTCTGTTTCAAACGGAAATGTGTAACTGAACAAATAATTCTTCACCAGAATGGAAGTTAACACATAGGCAAGAGCAGTTAACTTGCTAAGTCTTTCCTCCGTGCTAAGAGTATTAGTCTTTGTTTCCTGCGTCCTTAGTATACTTCCTTCCTAGATACATTGAGGGGAGGTCAGTCTGCATTAGAAGTCTGATACAGAGCTTTTAAAACTTTCCTTCAAATACATAAACAAAAGTCCCATACCGCCAATATTAAATTATGCCTTGTCGAGCCCAGGCCAGTACAGTTTTGCCTTTTACTACTAACTTAAAATGATTTTTAATTCAGGGGCGCCTGGGTGGCTCAGTCAGTTAAGCCTCCGACTTCAGTTCAGGTCATGATCTCGCGGTTTGTGAGTTCGAGCCCCGGATCGGGCTCTGTGCTGACCGCTCAGAGCCCGGAGCCTGCTTCAGATTCTGTGTCTCCCTCTCTCTGCCCCCACCCCTCCCTCCACCCCTCCACCCCCACCCCACTCCCTCATGCTCTGTCTGTCTCTTTTTGTCTCTCAAAAATAAACATTAAAAAAAAATGTTTTTTAATGATTTTTAATTCAAATATCCAAGAGCCAGTCTTGGCTTTGGCATACAATGAATTGCTGTAGATCATTTACATATAAAAGGACACTTTTTAAAGGCTTTAGGTATTCTCTTAAGTGGGTAAGAGGTACTTGTATCAGTTTCCTCTGGATGCTCTAACAAAGGACCACAAAATGGAAGCTTAAAAGAACAAACAGTGTCTTACTGGAGTTCTGGAGGCCAGAAGTCTGAAGTCAGTTTCACTGGACAAGGTGTCGACCTGGAGGGGTCCTTCTGGAGGCTTTCGGGGTGAATGTTTCCTTGCTTTTTCTAGCTTCTGCAGGTGACCCGTGTTCCTTTGTCTCCTAGCCCCTTCCCCTCACTTCACCCTCTTGCTTCCCCCCTCACCTCTCCTCCTTCCTCGTCTACCTTCTCACCTCCCCCTGGAAGGACCTTGGGATTACAAGGGTCCACCTGGATAAGTCAGACTGATCTCCCCACCTCAGGGCCCTTTATCCATCACTCTTGCAAGTCCCTGTTACCATATAAAGTCCCAGAGATTGGGACACGGACAGCTTTTGGGGTGGCCTTGTTCTCAGGGCATTTACAGTGAGATGGATACACTTCAAACCGTGGAGCCATATGACATCTGAGCCCCACGTCCTGGAATCAGAGGTGGTGCTGGATTGGCAGTGGGGAGATCTGCCACGGCCACAGAAGGGTAGCTGGGGAACAGATGGGTCTGCTCTGAAATCCTGGACCTGACTTACTAACCAGGTGACCTTGGGCAAGTTGCTTAACCAATCTGAGGAGTAACCACAGCTCCCAGGCAGGGCTGTCCCGGAAGAGAAATGAGTTACTGTACGTTAAGTACCTGGCAGAGGAGGTGTTTGGGAAATAGCTGCCCTCCCTTTTAAACCCTGTTGGGCCTTCCTACCATATCCTCAGTGATGAAATTACGCCTGTGATTTTTTTTTTTAATTTCTAAAAATTAAAAGCACCTCGCAAATACAGATTCATATGATTATAATAGACAAAGCGAGGTAAGCCTCCCCTCTGATCGTCTCTCTCCTAAACTGAGAGCCCAGTGAGGGCATAGAAAGCAATGGCTTTCCATGTCATTAGTTGGAGGGGTGAGTGAAGTCCATGTATAGAAGAGCTCTGGGTATAAAGGGGGCAAAGGGATGAATGAGAAGAAAAAAGAAATATGAGAGAGCGTGGGTTCGCAGGCTCTGAGAAGATAGAAAAGACCATTTGAGCCCACCTTGCCCTGGATATCACACTGGATGATTTAAGCACATCAGTTCCTTGAATTTCAGTGTCCCCACCTGTCAGACGAGCATTATGAAGAGTATCCCACCTCGCTCTAATTATATACCAATAATAATTTACATACAGATTGAGAAAATGTGTGCACAGTGTCATATAAATGGCGTTCTCGCCCACAAATCTAAAGTGGCCTCATACCCCGTTGTTACAAGATATGGTCAGGAGGGGCAACAACTGTCACCCAGGTTCAAAATGTGCCTTCCATGTCAGCATGGGAAAAACAGGCAACACAACTAAGAAAGAAACTTTGCAACAAAATCTGTCAACAAGCCACTTATCCCCTTCCTCCATAACCAATGCCAACACTTCCTTGTCTAGGACACACCGCGAGCCGTGGACATTTATACCCAGATGCCTCGCAAGGAAGGCAGCCTGCCAACTGGGCCCCTCCCTTCTAAGGAAAATGGCTTCTAAATGACAGATCTCGAGGCTGACTGCTCTCAGGACACCCTGTAGTACAGGTAGAAGCAAAAGGATTGGAAGCAAGCAGCTTACTTTTCCGTCAGTGCCCAAGAACTAAGGGGAAACCCACATCAGCATGAAGCTCTCTGGTCTTTGTCGGCTACAGAAGCACCCGGAAGCAGTGAGCCTCCTCCCTATACAGGGCCTCCACTGGGTTCATTCTTGGGTGTTAGTCCTATTCTTAGTAACCAGGCAGTTTTCTTCTAAGGATCAAATCTCATGGTTTTCTTTTCTGGCTTTGCTCTAGCTATTTTCCTGGGGACAGTCCTAATCCCTGGGCCCCAGTATCCCCACCTTCTCATTAGGTGGGCTGTGCTTAGTTGATCACAGATAAGTAGGATTTTGTACTTGGGATCTCCTAGTACAACCAGTTCATTTTGCAGAGAAGAAAACTGAGGCCCCGAGAGAGGAAGTGACTTGGCAAAGGTGGCAAAGAGGTTGGATGTGAATTTCTGGTCTTTGCCTTGTCTCCTTAGCCAGCTCCTCTGGAACGCAGGGGCAGGGGCTATGGCTTCCTGCTTTTTGAGTCCCTCCGGGTGCCCAGGCCCATAGGTGGGTTGGGGGTAGGGGCGGTTGGAATCTGTAGACACGTATCGGTTGGTGGACCTAATTGATGGAACACAGGATTGGTGTATTGAGTTGGGGAGAAATTGCCAAGAGTGATCCAGACTGTGAAGCAGGTCCACATGGTTCTGCACAGCCACTTACCAGCTGGGTGACCTTGGTCAAGTTTCTTGACTTCTCTAAGTCTCCATATCTTCAACTATAAGATGGCGGTGACCATACCTACTCCGCATGGCTTGAAGATTTACTAAGGCTGATATGCTCAGTAGATAGGAGTTGATTTTTGTTGTGGTTCTTATTATTGTGTGATTACGGTAGGGACAAGCGCAGGGTCACTATGGGAGGTGGGGAAACAGCGAAAATGTCATGGGGAGATGTTGGGAAAGCACAAGAAAACCAGTCCCTTGCCACCGCTCCTGAAGTCAGGGAGCACTGCCGGCCTGCAGGAAATTCCGCTGATTCTGGTGGGCGGAGAATGCGAGGCAGGGGGGAATCGAAGTGACTCCCATTCCTGGTGCACAGAAGACCTTCGGCTCGTCCACCCACAGGGATCCTGGGAGCCCCACCACATCACCAGAATGAGTGGGGCCTCCCCTCCGTGTTTCCACTCACGGCCTGAGCGGTAGGTGACCCTTTATAGACAGTTGCCGTCCACCTGGCTTCCCCTGTGACCGGAGGGGCATAATCCAGGCCAGGGCCCACACTCGACGTGACTTCTCCTCCTAGAAATGGCTCCTCCAGCAAAGCGCTCGGGAGGACGGCAGGCACACGGAGCTCCAGCTGGGCGGGCCACTCAGCTACACGGAAACGGACAGGGTGCAGACACAGCTGTGGGGGGGGCAGAATTCTGCTGTCACCCTGGAAGAAAATGGTGACAGAGAGAGAGATGGCTTCCGGAGGCATTGAGGAAATCTCACCTCGGGGGGCAACACAAAGGTACTAATGCCTGGGTTGGCTCATTTCTGGCAGAATGGCCCTGGCTGACAGGTGTGGTTTGGCATGTATGTGTGGCCCCTGGAGTGAGGCCCTCCCCCAGAGGTCAGTCCTGTGGGCGGTCACAACGTGATCATGTTCTCAGTGAACCTCTGCTTATCACTGCAAAAGTGTTACTGACAATTAAGCAGCGAGATAATGACCAAACCGGAGGGATCTGCCACTTTGTGTTTTAAGTTTTTATTGATTTTGAGATAGGGTAGATCAGGGGAGGTGCAGAGAAAGAGGAAGAGAGAGAATCCCAAGCAGGCTCCACACTGTCCTTGCAGAGCCCGACGTGGGGCTCGAACTCACGAACTGCGAGATCACGACCTGAGCCGAAACCAAGAGTCAGACGCTTAACCAACTGAGCCACCCAGGCGCCCCGGGGTCTGCCATTTTAATGGGGGCAGAGCAAAGACGGAAACCAGTAAGATGAAGGAAAGTAGCTCTGGAATCCAGAAGACTTGGGTGTGAGCTCCACCTGTACCACTGCCTTGCACAAGCTGTGCTGCTTTGCCGGAACTCAGTTTTCTCATCTGTGACACGGGAATCATAATCTTTCTCATCTGCTGTGGTTGTGGTGAGGTCCGAGTGAGATATTTATCTGTAAAGGTACTTGGTTAACGGTAAATGCTATACTCTTGTAGTAGGACGTTACTGCTAACTGTCCCTCTCGAAGTTTATCTCAAGGACTTTTAAAGTTGGGAAGGGAATTCTCAGCTGTACCTCAGACGACAGAGCTTGGGACAGCCCCGCACCCACCGTGTCACTTTGGGAGAGTAGGTGCGTCCTCCAGTCTCGGGCCAGGGTAGCCCTTCGGAACTGAACAGCTGTGTGCTTGCTTGAAACCTGAAACCTTCCAACCTGATGGAAATAAAGCCTTTCCATTGAATCAGAGCAAGCCTGCTAAAAACTGCCCCTTTCGGAAGGCAAGGAAGTAACACCTCTGATGGTTGGGTCCCGTGCTGGCCACTGAGCCACTGAGTCATTCCAAAGGTTTCGAGCGGACCCTTTTCCCCCCTGGGTGGCCCGGAGCCTTCAGGACTTCCTGAGTGTGGGAGCAAAATAAGATAATGACTCTACTAGCTTCTTGAGGCTGCCGTGTTGGCATGGCGGTGAGTGTGGCTGAAGGGGAAATGTGTGTGCACGTGCACGCGTGTGTGCAGGTGGGGGAGAGAGGGCAGGCAAGAGAAGGGAGGAGGGGGATGAGGCTCATTCGGTCTTCCATTCAAGAGTGCTGTTCGGCAGTTGACCGTACATAGGTTCTGTGGCGGATAAGGAAGATGGGGCGAGAGAGAGGGGACATGAGTGGGGGTGGGGGGGCGAGGAAAAAGAGCTCAAAAAGGAGGTTATTTGATAGAATATTCTGAGCCGTAGAGTCCTGGGCAAGCGGGCAGGCAGGAGGGCCTTCCCCCAGAGAAATCCTGTCAGGGTCTGTGTGGGAAACCTCTCCTGTCAGGTCATTTTACCCTCCTGGGTTTCTTCAACCAAAGACGAACGTACAAGGCAATTCAAAGAGCTCTTGCCTGAAAAGTAGCAGCAGCCCATTCTGATTCCTGACCCTTCGCAGGTGCTCAGCAAACAGAAATGGAAGGCCAGGCATCAGTCCTCCAGGGGAAGCTGAGTCTGGCTCGGAGCCAGTTTCAGAATCCTGAAGCCCAACTCAGAGGCCTGGGACTAACTCTCAAGCGGGAACCCCTTCTACAGATTCAGGAAGGCACTTTGCACACGGACTCTGCAGTGAGGAGGCAGATAGCACGATCCATTTCAGTAATTTCACAGCAAAATGTTCTTCTCTGAGACGTGTGCAGGGCATGCATTAGGCCTTGCTTCACCCATTCTCAGACCCCTACTAGGAGCCTGGGGGGATTCAGCTCCACCCAAATGACCTTTATTGACAGTACAACCTGTCTACGGGTAATGCAGTGAGGGCTAGACATACACAAGGAATACAGTCCGTTCCCTGCCCTTCAACAGCTCTCAACTCAAAGGAGAGGGGAAACCCTACCTATTGACAGATGAAGAAACTGAAGCTACAGGTGATACCATTAAAACGTTCATTAGTTATTTCCTTCATTCATTTATTCAAACAACTTTTATGGAGTCCACTTGAGGTGCCAGGCCCTGTCCTGGATGCTAGAGGCTGACACAGAGAACAGTCAGGCACATCCTGCCCCGTTGTGGGGCAGAGCCCCATTGTCACAGACCATGACAAATAAGTGGAACGCTTCGGAATTTATATTCTGGTGGTGCCCTGGACCCCTGTGACTTGTATCTGTGTGGCTTCAGTTTCATCATATGTACATGCCATTCAGAAATGGCATGTAATGGGAAGGTGCCGGGTGCGTGCGTGTGTCTGTGTGTGTGTACACAAAACCTCCTGAAATTGCTGCCTCAGATCTCAGGGAGTTCGGGGGAGAAGGATGACTGGAGAATGGTGTGAGAAAAGGCAGCCCCGGCCAGTTTAAGTGATGAAGTGGTACCTGCAAGGAAGAGGTTGGCAGGGGGGACGGTATAGCTGAGAGCATGAGTTGGACATTCAACCTGCATCAAGACAGTGGTCAAGAGCATGGACCAGGGACAGTCAATTAGATCTGCCACTTACTAGCTGTGCAATCTTGAGGAAATGGCCTAATCCCTTTAAATCTCAGCTTTCTGACCTATAAAATGAAGATAACTATGCATATCTCTCAAGGGTGTACAGGCATCATTGTGGGGATTCACTGAAATACTCTCTAATTAATCAGTGGCGCCTTCTAGGAATTCAGTAAGCTATTGTCATTCGTCAGCATCATCATCGTTATCAAAAGTGTCCCACTGGGAAGGAGTAGCATAAGGTGACAATGAGTGTACAAGGGGACTTTCCTGGTCAGGGCAGGCCTGAGTGGATCGAAGGCCCCCTCCCTATCTCTCTGGGGATTTCAAGCACCCGTGGGAGAAAACGACATCGTGGACTAGACCTTCAGGGCCCAGGCTGCATCAGAGTGGGAGGGAGTATGCTGCACCTGACAGTGAGTGGCTGGGGCCCCAGAGCCCCTGGCTGGGTGGGGTGGAGCTCTGGGGCCTTTGAAGAAGGACAGCAGTTTATCGGTCTTGTCTCCCCACAACCCCACAAGTAGGTTCCTCAGAAAGAGATAAGCTCAACCCACCAGTCTCCTTCCCAGAGAGCAGGTACTTTTGAGTTTTAAATAACCACATTTTTTTTCCTATTTACACAAATGCTTATATTTGCAAAGTGTAGAAAAGTTAAATAACATTTTATAATAATCCTGAGCCTCACCACCCAAAACAGTCACTCTTCTGTAGTCCAGATATTTTTAGTACTTTATTTATTTTTTTTTTAATTTTTTTTCAACGTTTATTTATTTTTGTGACAGAGAGAGACAGAGCATGAACGGGGGAGGGGCAGAGAGAGAGGGAGACACAGAATCGGAAACAGGCTCCAGGCTCTGAGCCATCAGCCCAGAGCCTGACGCGGGGCTCGAACTCCCGGACCGCGAGATCGTGACCTGGCTGAAGTCAGACGCTCAACCGACTGCACCACCCAGGCGCCCCGATTTTTTGTTTTTTTTAAAGGTAAAGTTATAATCAGAATATAATTCTATTCTACTTTCTCACTTAACATTACTTTGTAAGATTTTGCTATTACAGACTTTACCTACAAAATTTTAAGTCTGCCTTTGGTTTTAAATAGATGATGTGTTTTTATCTAATCATTCTTGCACTTTTAGACTGTTTCCAATTTTATACTTTTTAAATAACATCACATTAACATCTTTGGATGCAGCATATTCTGTAACTTGAATTATTTACTTAGATTAAGTCCTCAGAATAGAGTTCATACAGTTAAAGGGCATAAACATTTATAAAGCTTTTAATGTTTTAGGCATCTCAAAATGTCTTCCAGGTTTTTTTTAATGTTTATTTATTTTTGAGAGAGACAGACAGACAGACAGACAGACAGAATATGAGTGGGGGAGGGGCAGAGAGAGGGAGAGACACAGAATCCGAAGCAGGCTGCAGGCTCCAGGCTCCGAGCTATCAGCACAGAGCTAGACAAGGGGCTCAAACTCACAAGCCATGAGATCATGACCTGAGCCAAAGTCAGATGCTTAACCAACTGGGCCAACCAGGCATCCCATGTTTTCCAGTTTTTTAATGGTATATGTAACATTAAAATGTTAAAACATAAAGATAAATAAAGTGAATGGAAAAAATGGGATGGTGCCTGGGTGGTTCCAGTTGGTCGGGCATGTTTAGTCTTGATTTCAGCTCAGGTCATGATCTTGTGGTTCCTGAGATGGAACCCCATGTCGCTGACAGCGCGGAGCCTGCTTGGGATTCTCTTTCTCCCTCTTTCTCTGCCCCTCCCCCGCTTGCACACGCTCTCTCTCAAAATAAATAAATAAATAAATAAATAAACAAACAAATAAATAAATAAACTAAAAAAAAATAAAATGAATGGAAAAAATGATGCATAATCATACCACCCCAAAATAACCACTTTTCACACTTTCATATACTTCCTTCCACATTGCTCAGGGGTCATTTTTTATATAAAGTCATTATTTTCCCACAAAAATCATTATTTTCACTTATTTCTCCACATCTTTAAGATTCTGTCTACCACATAATTACTGCACAATGGCCCTTTATGTGTGCATGTCATAATTTATATCTTATTGGTGGTTAACAGGATTTTATCCTAATGACTACCTATTATAAACAACACTAATGCAGATGAAAAAGACCACAGCATTCATGAAGAGGACCCTAGCTGGAGGGAGTCATGGAATTATAACCTCAAGCACTCGTACATCTCAAGAGATTCACTCATTCAGCACTCTGCAACTAGATTCAAAACCATTTCGATACTGGTTTCA